CCCTTTGTCTCTCCCCCTCCGCTTTTAATCTGTCAACTGTACTTCCAAACACAGTTGGAAGTGAGTACACAGCTACTTCTCAACACTCCAGTCAAAGCCTTTTCTCTCCCGGTCTTTCATCAGGTCTCCTTGCTTCACACAGTGGCCAGATGGCTCTTTAAAAAAATAAATCAGATTCAGTGACCCCTTTGTTTAAAACTGTCTAGTAGTTTCCTATTATACCTAATCTAAATCCATATACCCCTGGACTATGAGGTCTGATGTGATGGGGCCCAGCTATTCCACAGTCACTCACAACTCACCAACCTCTGGACACACAGATCCTTCTTCCTGTTCCTTGAAAAGCAAGTTGTGCCCACCTAGGACCTTTGAGGGCACTATGCCCTTTGGCTGGCCCCTTGTAAGCAGCGAACACTTCTCTGGTCACCCTTAACTAATTGTGTGGAAATCTGTATGAGATGCAGAATTTCTTCTTCAACCATAATTTCCTCACTTAAAAAATGGGTTCACAAAATGAGAGGCTCACAGAGGTATTTGGAGAAATAATTTCTTTCCAGAAAGTTCTGCAAACTTTTAGGTCATTGTTTTGTAGGCCTACCATGCTGAGTGATTTTAAACAAAATTTGTTCTGGGCACAGACTTCTCAGTCAAGCTGGCCAATCACACAAATACGGGTGAGAGGAAAGGACCACATAATAATGACCACATTCCCAAAACTCTTCAAAGTGAGTATGATCTCATCCTACTGGAAGACTGTAGGCAAGGGAGAGGAAGAGTTGAATTCCAGTGCCCACACTTAGCTCCCCAATCTGTATGATTCTCTGTGCTAATAGTCAACTGCCTGGTCCACCCTCCAGAAGCAAAACAGTTCCCCTAAAAATGTCTTTCCCTGAGACTCCTGACCAGGTTTTATTTGTGACGGGCATACATTTGTTCCATAATTGATACAAGCTGAGTACAAGGGACATGACATATTTTCTAAATCAAATTAAATCTGGATCTCAAGGCTTTACTTGATGGAAACTTAATTTCCATTATGTTTTTAGGGACCTTTCCCCTTTCCTAGAGTTAGAGGAACATCTTGAGAGATTACATGCTCCCCAGAGAACAGGGCTTCAGCTCCCCCCAGAGCCAAGTCCATCATACACATCATGTGTATTCCACACACCTGCTTTCCCTCTGAACCAAGCTGGGCCACCAGCGACCTTGGCTTGCTTGGTGTTAAGTCCCTTTAGCATCCGCCACCTCCCCATCACAGAGTCCGACAAAAGTCTGAGTAGGGGTTGATTTCTAGGTTTCTGGAGACCCAACATGCAGACCAAGGATCCAAAGAAACTGTAGGAACCTTTGAGGTATACCATAAACACAGCAAGCCCTCACCTAATGTCATTGTTAGGTTCTTTAATAACGCAGATTTAAGCAAAATGATGCATAACAAACACAAGAACTTCAATAATGCTGTTTGTTCAGTATAGGCCAGGATTTTTTTCTCATCAATGTTACAGCAAAATAACATTGAAGAAATTGACATTATTTGAAGAGCTGCTATAATTTTTTTGGCTGAGTTTCATTCATTCAAAATTATTGTGAGACTGAGCCACGTTGTGGCATGTATCACTAGCTCATTCATTTTTATTACAGAGCAGTATTCCACTATATGAATATAACATGTTATGTTTTCCCGGTCACCTACTGATGGCCATTTGAGTAGTTTCCACTTTGGGGGTATTCTAAATGAAGTTCCTATGAAGATTTATATACTAATCTGGGTGTAAATGTCTGCTACCAGACATTTCTTTCTAGGAAATACCATAGGATTTCAATGTCCAGATCACATGGTAGCCTTGTTCTTAAATTGCAAAGAAATGACCAAACTCTTTTCAAAATGGTTATGCAATTTTACATGTCCACCAACAATACAGGAGATTTTCATGTCCTTTACTTCTATTTCAACAGTTGATATGGTCCGATTTTAAATTTTTAAGATAAAATAATGCCACTCACAGCAACATGGATGGATCATGCTCAGTGAAATAAGTCAGAAGGAAAAAGAAAAATACTGGATGGTTTCACTCACAGAAAGAATATAGGGGAGGCCCTCCCTGGTGGCGCAGCGGGTTAAAGCACTACACTAAGAAGCTAGAACCACTTCCGCATGAGTTCGATCCCCGCCTGCCCTGGAGGTGACCACATGGCGTGGCAGACCTCTCCTGACCCGCCCGCTGCTCCCCTCAGCAGTGTACTTCATCGATCTGCCTGTTCTGCTCCCCACTCTGTTCCTGGTGAATCCTCTCACCCTCTGCATCTCTGGCCTGTACCCCAGTTCTGTATGAATAAATAAATAAATCTTAAAAAAAAAAAAAAGAATATAGGGGAACCAAATAAGGGACCAAGGGAAAAAAATAACAATAAAAAATAGAACAACAATTAACTAAACAGACTAAACAATTATAACTCAGAGACATTCTGCAGGGGGAGAAGTGGGAGAGAGACCACAGCAAAGGCAGGAAGAAGACAAAGGACTGGAGATGGTGCATGGGTGAGTTGGCGGCGGGAATTCTATGGGACTACACCTGAGAAGAGAGCAAATGGTAAAAAAACAAAACAAAGCAATGATGTAAACTATGCATAAAGTAATTACTAAGATACAAGCAAACCAACTGTTTGTTCCTAAAGACCTTTCTACGAATGCATCGGGTCAGGGACCTCCAGGGTGACAGAAGCAACAGGGCCGTGTGTACGTGTGCGGAGAGGGAGATTTATTTTGAAGAAATTGGCTCCTAAGATTACAGGGACGGCATCTCCAGAGTCTACCGGATGGGCCAACAGGTTAGGTAGAGCCCCTAGGAAGAACTGATGTCACAGCTCAAGTCCAAAGACAAGGTGGAAGCGCAACTTCCTCTTCCTTGGGTGACGTGAGTTTTTCACTTAAGGTCTTCAACTGAGTAGATAAGGCCCAACTATATTACACATGGTTGTTTTTAGTCTGTTGACTTAAATTTTATCTCATCTAAAATATGTCCACAGTGACATCTACACTGGTGTTTGACCAAATATCTGAGTTCCATGCCCTCTCTGAGTTGGCACATAGAATTAATCATCACACTGTGTGATGCAGGATTTGTAAACTTAAATACAGGCAAGCAGATAACGGAGTTAACAGGGGAGCCAGTTGGCAGGTGGTAAGGAATGGTGGGGATCAGGGAAGTGTATGGTTGATCTTCATAAAGGCAATCTGTTTCAAAAAATTAAAAAATCACCATTGGAAGGCCCTCCCTGATGGCGCAACAGGTTAAAGCACAACACTGTGAAGCTCACCACAGCCTCTTTAGAGCAAGTTTGATCTCCAGACAAGGAGGTGACGCACAGGGTGCTGCAGACCTCTTCTGACCTGCCCGCTGCTCCCCTCAGCAGTATACTTCAACCGGCTCCGTCTCTGGTGAACCCTCTCACTGTCCCTGCACCTCTGACCTGTACCCCAGTTCTGTACGCATCAATAAATAAATCTTCTTTAAAAAATCACTGTCTGAAAGCAGCAGCATCTTCAAGACAAACAAAGCCCAGACCTCAAGGTTTGGAGAATGTAACAAACACACTGAGGGGCTAGGTAGGGGCTTTCTTGTTTGTTCATCATCAGCAACTCTGCCCGGTGGCCTCAGGCACCAGGCTAGTATGTCAGAAATGGGACTGTCTATCCATCAGGTCAAGTTCAGGAATGGGGCAGACAACTGGAACGTAAACATCACCTTCCTCCACCAAAGATTTGACTGGTATTGAGAAGCAGTATTTTTGAGATTAAAAATCCTTGCTGGCTTCTGAAATATGGTTCTTTGGTGTTGCTAGTTAAGGATGGAGACAAATGATTAAGACATAGCACTGTGGGGTGGGTCTGCACCTTTAGGAGAGACTGAACAAGCACTTACCCAAATAAAAGGCATTTTGGGGGGACCGGAAGCAGAACTAGCACCTCTCTCTACAAGGATGATTCCAGGATAAATACAAACAGGCAGTTTCCATAACTGAAATATTTCTGGCCTGGAATTTCGTCCAATGTCACCAAATATAACTTCTAGAGTCTACCCCAGTGCTGTCTTCCAGCTGTGTGATTTCTTGGTGTACCCTTAATGATTAACTCGCTGCAAAAGACACCTCAAATGCAGTGAGCTGCTGTACATTATGATTCATTGTAAACCAACTTAAGGTTGAGAAACACTTAGCAAAAAATTTTTAATTGCTTACAAGTATTTGAACTGAAGCCATTCTCATCCGGACAGTATCTAAATAGCAGAGCTATTTTCCACATCACTTACAGATCATAAGGCTAAAACCATATTGTCTTTCTATAAAACAATGCATGCTCACAGTTTCTAAAAAGGCGGCATTCTTTCCTCCAGGTCACCAGGGAGCTCGACTTTGGAAGCGTTTTCAAGTGCACTGGTAGGTGCGGAACCTGAAGACACACAGCTGTTGTCCGACCTCTTAGGAATTCACACCAACCATATTACTGATGAAAGTCAAATGAGGCTCATTTAAAACTCTCAAGATCGTCAAAGAAAATGGTCTGTGCTGAATCAATTTTCCAGCTAGGGAGGAGAAGGAGGAGAGAGAAAAGGATTCTACCGATCTCTGAGCAGGTAGCGGTGTTCTTTCTGAGAGGACTCGCCAGGCCGGGGTGGCCTCAGGAATCGTTGGCATTCCCAGCTATGAAGGCACCAGGGAAGGAAGGGGAAAAAGCACCCCGCTGAGGTCACGGGAGGACAGTGGCAGTAGCGCCTCACAGCAGGCGCTCGAGATGCTGGAACAGCAGCCTGGCTGGGAAACTGGCTGCTCTGGCCCGAAACCACTTAGCAACAGCCATCAAGATGCAAGCAAGGAGAGAGCGCATCATGCAATCTCACACCAGGAATAAAATTAAAATTCTAAACGCTTCCACAAAGAAAAAAAAAAAGCATGTTCACATAGCAAAAGATGAGCGATCAAAATGGCCTATTACTTCTCACCAGCAGCAAGGGAATCTGGACTCCGTCTGCACTGCCTTCTGCACAGAGGTGCCTGCGCCCTCGCGATGCTCCCAGCCGCGCTGTTGACTCAGGGAGGGGAGACGAAAGATAGATTGCGAGATTAAGTTCTTGGAGAACTTGCCTGCTTTGAAAACTCAGTAAACTGTTAGCAGATGTACTCACTGAAGCAGCAAACGGAATCAGAAGAAAACCCCCGGTCTAGGAAACAGGCATAAGACAGAAGACAGGGGGGAAAGACACCTGCCGCAAACTGATCCCGGGCGCGCGGCAGAGCAACCGGGTCAAAGCGGACTGCTGAGCCCGAGTAGAAAGGTACATTGCCCATCATCAGCTCTGATATGTTTGGCTCAGAGCAAAAGTAGACTGAGAGAAAACTAGGCCTCCCTGGTGGCACAGGGGGTAAAGACGGCGCCATCGAGCTATCTCTTACCATTGCAACAGGAATCCCATCCATGACCGCCCCGGAACTGACCCACATGGCGCAGCGGATCTCTCCTGTACCCCGCTGCTCCCCCTCAGCTGTGGATTGCAGTAGATCTGCCTGTTCTGCTCCCCACTTTGTCTCTGGTGAATCCTCTCATCCTCCTATACCTCTGACCTGTACCCCAGTTCTTGTATGCATAAATAAGTCAATCTTTGAAAACAAACACAAAGAATGAGAGCTGCCGCTAAGGCAGGGGAAGACTAGGAAGAAGAAAGGTTAGAAGGAAGAGGGCAGGAAGCAAGTGTGTGTTTGGATACACCCACCCACCCACCCACCCACACACACACACACAAAGAGGCTGTGTTTATTAGTAGGCAAAAAACCCAGAAAGTTGCACAAGAAAGGATTTGTAAGCAGAGTATATCATTAGTCTTACTGTCAAATAGTGTTTAGATAATAATATAAACAGTGTCAATTCAAAAAGGGAAAGGGTAAAAGGTCTAAATAATCATAATAGTAAGTCAATGGGTAATTTTTTAGATTGATTAAAAATCAAGAAAACTGCACTGCTTATTGATTTTTCTAAATGTTTACATTGCAAAATATACATCGAGAAAAATGCACAAAATAAAATGTGCAGTTCAATGGCTGATCACCAAGCAGACATTCATGCACTCAGCCTCTGAGTCAAAAAACAGAAGTTTGCCAGCATCCCTGAAACTCATCATTCTCTCTCCTAATTAGTACCCCAGTCTTCCCTTACAACTATTACCTTAACTTTTACGGTAATCACTTTCTTTATAGTTCTGCTATCCAAGCTTGCATCCCTAAAGACTGTAATTCCATTATGCCTATTTTTTGAGCTGTATATTTACGAACTACAAATGTATGTGTGACGTTTTTCACACAGTAACATCCATGGGAAGCATCCTGGCCGCTGGCGTATTTGAGTGTGTGCATGTGTGTGTGTGTGCACATATAAACATATTAAAGTCTTGCTAGATACTGGCTAGTTTCCAGTTCAGGGTCATTATAAAGACTGCTGATGCGAACATTTCTATCCAAAAATTTGGGTGTGTATTCACTATTTCACTAAATGTTTAGATCAGAGTAGAATTGCTGACTCACAGAAATAGCTGTGTACAATTATATTAGATAATGCAAATTAGTCTTCCAAGTGGCTGGGCCAATTTGGATGCTCACACCGGTGTCTGGGGATTCTCATATTCCCCAACCCTCACCAACTTCTCAGTAGTGAAATATTTTTAATCTTTGGCATTGCAGTAGAAATGCAGTCACATTTTATGTAGCTTCTAATGTGCATTTCCCTGAAGATTTATAGGGCTGGACATTTTCTCACATGTTTATTGGAAAGATAGATATCATCTCTTGTGGAGTTCCTATTTAAGTCTACTACCTATTTTTCTAATTCAACATTATTTGATTGACTTCTTGGAATTCTTTATATATTCTTCCCATGAGCCTTTTGTAAATTATAAATTTATAAATATCTCCAACTTGCCTCTCACTCTCTTAACTGTGACTTTTGATGAATATAAATTCCTCATTTTAATAGAGTCCAATTTTATCTGTCTTTTTGTTAATGGCTGGCTCTTTGGGGTCCTATACAGGAATTCTTTTCTTAGCCAAAATCATAAATATATTATTCTACATGATCTTCTGTATACTTTATGATTTTGTCTTTCACATTAGATCTTGAATTCCCTGGGAATGGGTGTTGGTGTATAGTGTAAGTTTAGGGTCTAGCTGTATTATTTTTCTATACTGATAGCCAACTGTCCCAGGACAATTTTTAAAAAAAAAGATTTATTTATTTATGCTTACAGAACTGGGGTACAGGCCAGAGGTGTGGTGGGTGAGAGGATTCGCCAGAGATAGAGTAGGGAGCAGAACAGGCAGATCTACTGAAATACACTGCTGAGGGGAGCAGCGGGCAGGTCAGGAGAGGTCTGCATTCCCTGTGGGTCAGCTCCCTGGGCAGGGATCAACTTGTGCTGCAGTGGCTTTGGAGAGCTTCAGAATGCAGTGCTTTAACCCGTTGTGCCATGAGGGAGAGCCCAGGACGACTTGTTTTAAAGAGCCCATCCTGTCCCCAATGTTCTACAGTGACTTTTTGTAATGGAAAGCAAGTCTATTCATACACTGCTCTGCTTTTTGGACTATATTCTTTCCCACTAGTCTATTAATTTGTCCTTACACAAATGCCAGATGGCCTCAATTACACTAACATAACAATGAATCTTAGTATCTGGGAGAGCAAGCTCTCTTCTCTTATTTTTCTTCAAATGTATCTTGGTTATTCCTGGGCCTTTATATTTCCATATAAATTTTAGGATCAGCTCATTTCCAAAAACCCTCTTCGGATTTTGACTGTGATTATATAGTCACAGTACACAATACCCTGTGTCCATCAGTTTGAAATTGACACCCTTGGAAGATGAAAACTTCCATCTCATGAACATGATAGATCTCTGCATTTTATTCAGGTTTTCCTTTTCTCTCAAGTATATTTAGGGATTTTCAACATGGAGAGTTTCATAACTTTTTTAGATGTTTTCTCAGCTATTAGATTATTTTTATTCTAAAGTAACTTCAATTTCTATTTGTGAGAAATAGAAATACAATTTACTATTTCCTATTTACATTGCACTCAGAAAACTTGCTAACCTTACTTCTTAGTTCCAACAATTACATAAAATTTCTTTTGAATTTTCTATATACATAGTAATTTAATCTCCCAAAAGTTTTATCTATTCCTTTTTAGTCCTAATATCTTCAACTTTCTTTGCATTAGTATGGTCTGTAATGCAATGATTGATTGATGTTGCTTTTTTTTTTTGATGCTGCATTTTTTAAAATGATGTAGGATATATTTTTGTAGATACCCTTCTTTGAATAAGAACACTTCTTATTTGCTGGTTTGCTGGGTCTTTTCTAAATTGTAAATAAATATCAATTATATCGCATACATTTTCTGCTTTTACTGGAATGATCAAATTTTTTCCCTTTGTTTTGTTAATGCTGAGTTAACCCCAGCTGATTTTCAAATATATTATTTTAACCTTGTGACGACAACTGGATCCCCTTTGCTAATATTTTACGTAGGATTTTTGAATCTTATGAATAAAACTGGCCTGGAATTTTCCTTTCTTATAATGTCAGGTTTTAGTATCAATATTCTACTGGCTTCTTAAAACATGTCAGCACTGTCTTTTTTCTATTATCTGGAAGAGTTTGTGGAAAAAATATGCTACTTCTTCCTGAACTATTTAATGAATTCAACAGAAAAACCAACTAGATGTGAAGTTTTCCTTGTGTGAAAGTTTTCAATTACATATTCATATAAGCATAGTTGGACAGTTATTTCTCTTACGTTAATTTTTTTGAAGGTTTATTTATTTGTGCATATAGAACTGGGGTACAGGCCAGAGGTGCAGAGGCGGTGAGAGGCTTCACCAGAGATAGAGTGAGGAGCAGAACAGGCAGGTTGACAAAGTACACTGCTGAGGGGAGCAGTGGGTGGGTCAGAAGAGGTCTGCGGCACCATGTGGTCACCTCCAAGATGGATCATGCTGAAGTGGCTTTAGCTTCTTAGTGCTGTGCTTTAACCCGCTGCGCCACCAGGGAGGGCCTCTCCTAAGTCAGTTTTTATAAGTAGCATCTTTTTATGTTCATTTCTTCTAAAATGCACATATTTTGCCATTGAGTTATTCTTCATATTCCTTCATCATCTTTCAACCATAGGGATGTTGGTTCTTTCTGGTTATTTGTGATTTTTTTTTCTTGATTAATCTCACCAGGATTTATCAATTATATCAGACCTTTGATTCTGTTAATTCTATGGGATGGGATGACCATGTTCTGTTTTATTCCTTTATTCTCTTATGTTTATTATTTCCTTCTTCCTAAGTTTCTTAAAAATTTAATTGTTGTACTTTCTTTTTTCTTGAAATGAATGTTCAGGTTATTTCTCTGTACACAGATATCAAGTTATAAAATCATGCATCTGAAAGTGATATGAGGGATCCATGCTATCTCAAAAAGAAATAATAATAACAACAACCATGAGTTTTCTCTCTTTGCAGTGAATACTGGCTCAAAAAGCTAGAAAGAGCCCATGCTCAGGTGGAAAGAAAGCCCTCAGGTCCCACAGAGATCTCACTACTGCACCAGCCTGCTAGCTCCTGGGCTCTAAAATTCATGGAAGACTCTGGTAGGGACTTGGTAGCTCCAAACATGCAGTGCTGGAAACATTTCTAAGTAAGAGCTTATTTTTAAAGCTAAGAGAGAAGCCTGGGAGTTGACCAGAAAGTGAACACAATTTCCGAGAAAAGGCCATGGCTCCCCTTTTTTCTTCCTCGATTTTATTAGGAATGTTGGTTCTACTCTTATCTGCCAGAAATTCTATGCCCTGAAGCCATGAAGGAAGCAACATTGCTCTGTTTCTCTGTCTTGGCTTTCTGAAGGAGCTGGATTTGCTACTGGGATCATCTTCTCAAGTGAATTCCTCTGGGCTAGTTAGCTGTTCTCTGACCGGTGCCAGAGCTGAGCCCAAGGAGATGCTCCAAGAAATAAAGCATGGCCGGTGCCTAATTATAGACTCAGCACATCTTGCAGTCTGCAGCCTGACCCTTCCTGGAATTTTGATGATGATGCACAGGATACCACTTCCCATTCTTAATCTGCGTTATTTTAGATTACTTGATTCAAAACAATGTTTTGAAGTAAACAGCCCAACATTTTTCCAAAACATGGGCTTTCATCGTTCTATAAAGTAAATTGCCACATGCATTGTGTTTGCTTCCTAGCAGGTGGGTAATAGATTAGCTAGAGTTCCTAAGATATTAGTGTATTTTCCAATCCAACTACAGAGCAGTCAAGAAAGACAATTACTCAATGAAAACAAAATAGGATTCCAACAATTTTACTCAGGTTCATATGTCATTCTCATTTACAAGGACCAATAGCAGCAGAAAATAAAAACGAAGCATTGGAAACAGTGAGCCTAGCAACAAAGTCATGAGTGAAGCTCAAGTACCTTGTGATATTGAGGCCAATAACCCCAGGGTCCAGTTCAGCTGAGATTACCTCAGCCCCAGGGAATATTCAAGAACAAAGCTCCTCCCCTGACTAGAGAAAGGTGGGGCTGTGGAAGCAAGGCCTAAACCAGTGGGAAAAAAGCGCGCCAGGTCTCCACTGAAGGACTTGAAACAGCACCAAGTCTTATTCTTTTACATTGTAAGAATAACCAGCAGTCTCACCGCCACCATGTCAACCACAAAGTCAACAATATGGACCTTTCTTCACCCAAGGGTGTGCATCAACACCCTCTCAGCTAATCCTATTTAGGGTGGAGTCCTATCTCTATTGCTCATCTCTCCATGTCCAGCCCATCATAACTCTCTAGTGTCAGGATATCCCAACAAATACTTACAGAATGACAGTGAATTCCCACAATAGCCCAGAGGGAAATAAGCTGATTTCAACACAACACTGCAGAAGGAAAAACTGAGCCTCCATGGAAAGGCCACTACAGCATGTAGAGTAGGAGTTAGTTTTAGGAGAACTTCTAGAAGAAAAGTTCAAGGAGTTAGCTTATCTCCATGAACTGAAAACCTAACATGACCAATAACCTGAGGCCACCACACTGCATCCCGAAATATGCTAGCAGGTGTGTCATCAGGATAAGAGCATTCCTTTCGTTCATTCAGAGGCTTAATTGTTTTAGAACATTCTGGGTGTTCAAAACTAAGTGCAGGGAGAGCATAAAAAGCCCTCACCTTCAAGGAAGTTGTTACTGGGTTGGAAATTTAGGTTATACAAATATGAAATAAATGTAGAAAATTAGATCTTACCTTGGTGAAATTGATTGCAGGTGAAAGAAGAGCTCTGTGGAGAAAGAAATCAGACTGGACTGAAGTTTCAGGAAAGAAATCTATGCAGAGACTGTCTATTCAACCTGCTTCTTTTTTGCCCTAGGCACATATCTAGATTACCATTCTAGCAATTCCTCCTGTAGACACCTGTGGAAGTTTTACCCAGTCTTAGCCAATGGAGTGGGAACGGACAGAATCTGTCACATGTTAACTGACTGGTAGAAATCTGCCGCTTGTGAGTGTCCAAGTTCTTTCCCAAATAAGCACAATGAGCTGGGGAGCTACAGGTTGAAGATGGAAGGTCACAGAACGCAAAGTGCCTGGGTCCCTGAATCACCACATAAATGAGAAACACCCCTGTTTCATAACAGCCACTTGGATATGTAAGAAAAAACTTACAGTGTTTTGATTCACTCACTGCACTATGTTGGGTTTATTGAAGCAGCTAGTGTTCTATCTACTAACACAAGTTAGAATTTATAATACCCTTGAGTATGTGTGAGGGGAGAAGGTGTTTTGAAAATAGTGATTGCATTGTTTTCTCTGTGAGACCTTTACCCTGGTAAACATAAATTCATACATTTCAAGGAATATTAAGACTTCTAAGTGAGTCATACAAAGAGAAAGAAGGAGAGGGATTCCCTTTCGGATAGGCACCTGTTCACGCCTCTGAAAACAACCAAAAGTGTTGGATCAGGTCTTTCCTCAAAAGTATTTGAATATTTTCATGAGTCAACAAGCAAATAAGGCATACTAAGAGTGTATACATTTATATCAGTTTTAACCTGAAGGCACTTAATAAACTATGAGAACTTGTTTTTATAACTTAGCAAAGCACACTGCACTGACAAAGCCAGATTCCTCCAAGGTACAAAGTATAATCAAAGGCACTCTACTAAAGATAGGATTCTAAAATTACTGGAATTGTTTATCTTAAAAATGAGAGCTTAATTGAAGGAGAAGAGGACTTTACTGAAATTTGTAATCACAGGACAGCCCTCAGATAGGTCTCCAAGATTAACTGACTATGTGGTTGACCCCCAAAAACCTTAAGCTAAGAATTACAAGTCTTTGGTTTCAGATTGGTGATGATCCTAGGCACTTAGCAGAAACCAATATGAAATCTAGAATAACTCACTTTTGATACCAAACTCAAGGAATTTCCACTGATAAAGTATCAAAAATAAATAAATAAATAAGGTCAGAGTAAATCAAAGCAAAGCAAAACAAAAACCACACACAAACATACATACAAAGGAAAGAAAGTATCATGAATAACAGCTAGCAGAAAGAATAAATTGTAGAATTAAAACTCACAAAGGCTTCAAATTTTATAATTATCAAACTCAGGTATAAAGTAAAGGTTTCAGTTATCAACGGGGGAATGTGGTAAGCTAAAAACAAGGTTAAAAAGATAAGGTACAGTCATATATACAATGGAATATTACTTAGCAACCAAAAAAGAGAAACACATGTCTTTTGCAGCAACTTGGATGGAACTGGAAAAGATCATGCTTAGTGAGATAAGCCAGAAAGAGAAAGAAAAATACCAGATGGTTTCACTCATAGCAGGACTATAATGGACCAGGCGAGAAAATAACAAAAATAATGAACAACCATATACCAGAAACATTTAGTGGGGGTGGAGTGGGGAATGGGATCAAAAATGGGGGGGGAAGGGAGAGAAATGCACGGGACTATGGTGGTGGCACACGGGTGATTTGGTGATGGGAAACAATCGAGATGGAAAAAAATGTGCAAAATGATGTAAAAATAAACTTTTGTAATAATTAAAAAAAAAGGCAAAAAAAAAGATAAGGTACAGGAAACTGGAGGTTGAAGAGCTATATAAACCATGGCACATATATGGAGAGAACTAGAAAGTATGAAATGGGTTAAAACAGAGAAGACAGAGATTAAATTTTAGCATATACCTAACCTGAAATCCAGAGCAGAGTTCAGATTCTGAGGATCTTCCTGAACTGATGGGGGAAAAGTCAATATGCAAATTCACACACACACACACACACACACACACACAAATCTCAAGCAAGATAAATACAAAAAGTGAAGTTCATACCTAGATACTTTATAATAAAACTAAAGGATGCCAAAGGCAAAGAGAGTCTCTTAAAAACTGTCATAAAGTATCCTGAAAATTCATTCAATGACAAGTGGCAATTAGACTTAGCACTGAGTCTCAGTAAAGGAAGCAAAAAACAATAGAGTACTTTTAATGTACTGGAAGAAAATAGTTGAAATTTTATACTTAGCAAAAATATGTCTTACATACAATTAAGTGGTATTTGAAAAAATTGGGAAAATTTTCTAACAAACAATAACTGAAATAGTTTTTCTTCAATCGATCCTCATTAAATAAAATCTAACAAGAAAAAGTAGTGAGGGGAAGAAGGAGAAGCAATTATAAGCAAAGATAATAGTAAGTATGTGAGTAAATCTGAAATAGCACTAAGACTTTAAATAACCTGTGAGTTAAAAAAAGATAGTAGGGCCCTCCCTGGTGGTGCAGTGGGTTAGAGCACAGCACTAAGAAGCTAAAGCCACTTCAGCAAGAGTTTGATTCCCGCCCAGGAAGTGACTCACATGGGCGGCAGACCTCTCCTGACCCACCTGCTATCCCCTCAGCAGTGTACTTCATCCATCTGCCTGTTCTGCTCCCCGCTCTGTCTCTGGTGAATCTTCTCACCGTCCTGCACCTCTGGCCTATATCCCAGTTTTGTATGTATAAATAAAGAAATCTTAATAATAATAAAAAAAGATAGTAGATAGAACTAAATTCTAACCAAGTAACAGACTTCATTTAGAGAGAGGATGATAACTGGAGATAAGTTGTTTAAGTTCTCTGAATTGTTTGGGATTAGAGGAAAGATATGAATTAGCTTTGAACTTTGATATGTATGATATGCAAACTGAACTTTCTAGAGAGTCACTTAAAAAAGGAAAAATAGAGTATAGAACTTCCAAAGTACTAAAGAATACATGAAATATAAATAAAAAGACTAATCAATAAAAAGACACAAGATTAGGGATAAATAGTGTAAATCATAGTCTTGAAGGAACAGAATGACTTCTATCTGTAATACCAATAAATATAAAGAGATTATATAGTTGAGTTAAAAAACATTTACAGGTTGCATTAAAACAATATCCGACTATATGGCAGATGTACAAAACACATCTAAAATATTAGGGTACAAGGAATTTGACACAATCAAGGATGGTAATGTATATACACCAAGTAATTTAATATCAAAATGTATCAAGAAAAACTGATAACCCACTATCCTAGTAGGAGATTTTTATATACTTCTCTCAATAAAAATAGATCTAATAAAGGATTAATGAAAGCAGAGAAAATTCAAAGAACTCAGTTAAAAAGCTTGACTTAATGTTACAAGATTGATACCAAAAGACTATATCTAATGACAAAAATGTAATTGTTACAATCTACACAGAACAAATACTCCAAAAGATAAAAGAAGTTAGGAGATTGAAAGAAAACATGTGTACCTAACTCATAGAACAAACAAAAAGGCATAATAAAAATTTTACATATTAAAACTTCTGAGATAGAGCTCACTCCATAATTAGAACATATGGCCTATTTTCTATATTAGAAAAGAAATTTACAAAAATAATGAACTAAGCTGTCATCTTAAGAAGTTAGAAAAAAATAGCAAAATAATCACAAAAGAATAAAAAGCACAAAGATACAAGCAGAGAATAAACAGAAAGATATACTATGGAGAACATCTAAGAAATTAAATTTGGGGGGAAACACTAAGAGTAGTAACAAAACTCTAGTGATACTGAGTAAAGAAAAAGTAAGCGAGCATGTAAGTATGTAAGGAATGAAGAATTAGATTAATTGTGATGACAGCGAGGTTTAAAAAATATTAAAACCCTAAAAAGAGGCTATTATAAATAATCCCTAGCTTCCCAAATCCTAAAGAAGAAATAAACAAATTTCTAGAAATATACGAATTGCTAAAAACAGAACCTTGAAAAAAGAGAATACCAGAATAGCCTCGCTATAAAAGAAGCTAAATTAATACTGGCAAATATTTCTAAAATCCCATCCCAGATAGTCAGGTGACTGTTATGGCACATTCTACGGAACCCACAGTCTGACGAAACAAAATGTTGCAGACAATAAGAGATAAGGGTTGTCTGACTTACTTTCGAAAGCCAGGAAAAGATTGATAGCAAAATTTGTTACAAAAAGAGAATTACAGGCTTCTTGCTCATGAATGCTAATGGAAAAATCCTAAGAAATTCTGTCAAGGAAAAGTTCCCCTTGCACACTGAAAACATCACAGTTCAGACACACTTAGGGAAATATTTGTATGTTTCTTTACCTAGTAGGCTAGGCAGGAATAAATACGGGAATCTGTGTTTGAACTGCTACTTCCTCCTGGTGTGTGAAGTACGGAATTCCCCCTCCTGTCAGAACTCACATCACTGTGCAATAAAAAAGCTCTGTAATGATGGAGGAAAAAATTTTCACTTGCAAATGTTCATGTCCTATGACCAGCAATTTCACACCCAGGTAGGAACCCTAGTGCAGAAAGCTTCTCCTTTGCTGTTGCTGACCCTGGTTCATAATAAGTACATTTGAACCCATGGCCCTAAATGCACATATACTCAACACCCACATATGGAAATAAAACTGGGGTGTCTTAAAATCACTCCTACCCTTATTATAAGAAAGATGCTCTGATGCTTTCTGTTTTATTCTTAACCTCTTTCATTTTTTTAAAGTGCTGTTTGGTCATAACCTACTGAACCAGTTCCCTAGCCACTAATGGTCAGAACACAGAGTACAAAAAACACTAACCTACAGAAATGTTTGTTTATATTACCAGCAGATATGTTGAAGACTGCTCATAGCAACAAAATAATCTGAATGCTCATTTATAGTAGACTTCACATGTTCATATGCTGGTCTAACAACAAGCAGGAAAGAAATGACAAAAAAGCATTCTATACAGT